TGAGGGGAGAGGGCTGATAACATGTCTTCTTTTCTCTGGGGAGGCATAGTCCAGGAGGGCCCCAAAAGGTAACATGATACTTAAAAGGGTGGAAGGGGTGCCCCTCTTCTTCCAGGGATGTTCTCCCAGACAAGCCCAGAGAAAAGGCTGGGCCACTGTGGCGATGACAAACTCCCTAGGCTCTTCCCTAATCATCATCCAATCATGACCCCTGGGCCAGAGAGGGTGGTAGAGTCAATGCCAGAAGAAGTCAAAGAGGTCATTAAAAGACAGAGAGCATAGTCCCCATGGGAAGGTGGGGTCACAGTAAGGACAGGCTGGGGAAGAGAGTGGAGGATAAGGGATGACAGGAAGTAGCGAGGGGACTGAGGGAGCATCTGTTCCCAAAGGTCCTGGAAAAAAGTTCACTACCTCTGGCTTGGACAGAAAGGGAGACTTGACATCCTAGGTGGGGGAAGGGGGACAGAGCCAAGAGACAGGACACTTGCTCAAGGAATTAATGATTAGGTGTGCTTTCAGGTCACTCTCACTAGGTGTTACTGGAACACTGTCAGCCATACAAAATCTCCACTCTCAGGTCGCTGCCACCAGCAGAAGTGGGTATTGACAGGTGGGAGAAGATTGCTAGGTGCTGAAACCAAACAAGCCTCCTCCAACATAGCATAACATGTACCTGAATCAACCCCAGGCTTGGTCTCGGCTCACAGGGAGGAAGCAGAAAGCACCCACCCAGAGCTGGAATTGCCATGAGACAAAGTTGGCTAGGAGCTGTTGGTCCAATACCATGATGAAAAAGTCCCTCAGAAAGACAGAAACAGGGGTGATTCCAAGATGGCAACTAGAGGGAGGAAGCAGAACACTTACTTCCTAAAGTAAACTCTTGGAGAGACACTAGAGATACAACTGGCAGGAAAAACCACCAAGAAGAGGCAAAACTCTGACACCTCCACACCCCCAGCCCATGCACAGCATCCCCACGCCACATTAAATGGAGAAACCAAGATGGCCCCCGCACTGCCAGACGCCAGCTCCTACCCTGTTTGGGAGACCACCAGGTAAATGGATGGAGCAGGAGAACATCATCCTGAGTGAGGTTAGCCAGGCCCAGAAGACCAAAAATTGCATGTTCTCCCTCATATGCAGACTTTAGATCAAGGGCAAACACAACAAGGGGATTGGACTTTGATCACATGATGAGGTGAGAGCACACAAGGGAGGGGTGAGGATAGGTAAGAAACCCCCCCCCAAAAAAGCAACATAGCATTTGATGTCCTCAATGCAAAGGAACTAATGCAGAAACTTTAAAGCAACAGAGGCCAATAAGAGAAGGGGAACAGGAACTAGAGAAAAAGTTAGTTCAAGAAGAATTAACCTAGAAGGTAACACACATGTACAGGAAAGCAATGCAAGTCAACTCCCTGTAAAGCTATCCTTATCTCAACTAGCAAAAACCCTTAGTCTTTCCTATTATTGCATATATTCTCTCTTCAACAAAATTAGAGATAAGGGCAAAATAGTTTCTGCCTGGTAGCAAGGGGTAGGGGAGAGAGGGAAAGGGTGGGGAAAAGGGAGGAGGTGAGGGAAGGGGGGAGAAATGACCCAAACATTGTATGCACATATGAATAAAAGAAATAAAAAAGAAAAAAAGAAAAAGAAAGACAGAAACAGAGTGGGGGGACTGGCACAGGAAAGTCTGCTTTTGGCTAGTCCTTGGCAGGGTTTTCCCCAGCAAGAGTATCTAACAGGTTGCCATAGACTCACAGTCACACCTTAGACAGACTCCTGCTGGTTTGGCACTCAGTCATACTGACTGTGGTCCAGGAGAGGCATCCCTTCATGGTCGCCAGAAATGTTGCAGACTGGTGTCGAAGGTCCTTGCCTTCACTAGCCAAAGAATTGGCTCGTGAGGCAGAGAATTGACTCATGGGATGACAAGATTAGCATACAAGTAAGATTTATTAGAGAGGAAGGAAAAGCTGCCCTTAGAGGTAGACAGGGAGCCTGGAAAATCAGTAGGGCCCTATCGTTCACAGAGAGTTTTTTTTTTATTTGGCCCTTTTGTTGGGGAGGGGAGTTAAGAGTCAGGGGTGGAGTGGCCTTTTGACACATCTTTGTAGAAGGGGAGTTAGGAGTCAGGAGTGGAGTGGTCTCTTAACATATCTGTGCAGGAACATGTACACAGTTCTGCAAAAGCCTCCTGCTTATCAGCCTTGTGGTTTTTTGAGGCATCCCCAAGGGCCGTGACTTGTGAAGCCACCTGTCCCTTTATAGGATATGGGGCCCACAGTGCTCTCATGGAGGATGGAGGCACTGGCTCATTTTGATCTCCCAGACCCAACAATATTTTCCAAAATTTCCAGATATTTATGGAATTTCAGAAAATTGTCATACATTTTTAAAAGGCAGGCTTTCATGCTAGTTCTAATTCTCCTATCTCACTTTTTAAAAGTAATTTATGGGGCTGGTGGAGTGATTCAAGTGGTAAAAGCACCCTGTCTAGCAAGGGTGAGGCCCTGAGTTCAAACCCCAGGGCCACTGCAAAAAAAAAAAATTTATGTGGTGGGGATGTAGATCAATGGTAGAGTGTGTGCTTTGTGCCAGAGTGAGTGTGAGTGACCAACAGTATGCAGCAGAAATGATAGCAGGTCACTTCTGAGATTAGGTTGTAAATAACACTTCTGCTTCTGTCTTGTGCACTTTCCTTTCTATTTCTCTCAGATTGTTTACTTTTGGGGAAACCAATTTGTATGCTGTGAGGAGGTCTATAGAAAGTCTAGCATGGTGAAGAACTGAAGCCTTCAGGTAACAGCCACCTCAATTAGGAATCTTGGTTGCAGATCCTCCAACCCCAGTCATGCTTTCAGATGTCTGCAGATTTATATTTATTTATATTGATTCATAATATTATAAACTTAGGTATTCTATCATAAACTGTTATATAATAAACATATTTCCATGTCAAAAATAAACTACATCATAATTTAATGCCTACATAGTTTTCCAACAGATGAGTATGTTTTGTTTATATAATCACCCTATATATTTACAATTTTCACCACTCTAAAACAATAATACAATAAAAATCATTGCACATACGTATTTATGTAATTGAATGATCTTTGCCAGACTTTGAAGTAATGAACTACTGACTAATTTAATAAAATCTGGTAGAGATGGGGAAAAGAGTAAGGAAGAAATGTGTAAAAAGGAGAAAATAAGTCAGCCTAGGAAAATTTATGAGTTTCCTTTTTTCCACTCAGAATGTTTTATATTAGCCTGTTATTTTTGAATAGGTAATGTATACATATGATTTTTTAAAAAAGTCCTTGTCCTTAGATTTCAAAGAGTATCTGGAGAAAAATAAGTCTGTCTCTCATGTCTTCCAATTCTTCAGATATCCTCCCTCTACTTTCTTATCATTTTAGATATTAGGGCAAACCATATTTTAAAAGCCATCTCTGTAGACTGAACCTGGTTTAAGGAAATTCTACATGATTCCACCTAATATATATATATATATGTTCATTTACTTTTTCAAATCTATGATCATAATATATTGTGATTCTTTCATATATATTAAGACGTTTTGCTGCAAATTTTTTTCTTAGTGAAGACAAACTATGTGAAAGTCAGTTTTCAAAAATTAAAACTACCAAGGAATGTTAGATAAGTGAAATAAAAGAGGTCTTGGGTATGGTGTTGTTATTCATTTCCCTAAAATGAATAATGGTTTCTTTTAACTTGAAGAGGGAACAACACTTTTGAAGTCTGTAAGTTATATAAACAATGATAAGAAAACATATTGCATGAAGAAAATCTCCAAGTAACAATGCCCGGTGCTATTCTATGGAATCCTGTAGCCTGGCCTCTGTCTCTGCAAGGTCTGCAGGCTACAGGGTGCTGTGGTTCAATCTTAACGTGTGCCTATAGCCAAGATTTGGGAATAAAAATTTCTTAGAATACTTTTTGCACTAATAAAAGACTGTGTGTGAAAAGTTTGCTTATTGCAATCCTACTCTTTAAGCAGTTTTTCTGATAGAAAAGGAAGAGGAAATTGCTTAATTTTCATGCTTGTATAAGTAGAATTAAAAAGTATATCTTTTAAAAGAAAATTCAAATTTTTTTGGAGCTGGAAGAGACCTTGGAAATCATCCAGGTTGTTGGTTACCTAACAGTAGGGAATCATATCTGCACTGCCTATGATATTTTGCCTAATTGCCCAGTTTACTGATTAATGGAATCCAATCAGTTGATGGATGAGGAAAATGAGCCAAAGGGCAGGAAAACATTTTTTTTCAAGTTCTAGTCCAGGCCTTAGACCCTGCAGCATTCATTGGAAAGTGATCTTTCTTCTATGTCTTCCAAACTTCTCAAGTTACTGTTCAGTCTCCTCCTCTCAAAAGGACTCTATCATTCTCCCCTCAAAGCTTACCTCGAAACACTATCCTGTCAACTCTGCAAACCCATAAACACATCTTCTCACTCCAAACCCTAAAATAAGTTCGTACTTACATCAATATAAATTCTGTCTATTCATGTATTGGGTTTATTTTTATCTTTCCTTTCCTTTCCACTGCACATATATATAACTTTCAGTTAATTATTTAGCTGTTTTTTTCAATGAGAAAATGTCTCCATGTGTCAGTTGAGAAATTGGTGGTTTCAGGCTCCCAAAACTACTTACTCTCTAATTTAGCTAAGTCATGATAACCCTTCTCAATTATACCTGAACTCGATGCCACTAAATAGGCATCAAGTATGCATGCATTGGAGAACTCTGAGGTAGTACATAGTAGTAACCAAACATTCTCTTAACTTCAGTAAGAAGCATGACCATCAGCTATAGAGTCAAAAAGGATTGCTGGCTTAAGTTTCAATGTTCATGACATTTGCAATGCCCCTGATCCTCAGTATACTCTTGTATACTAAACAAGGTATAATTCTTGTTTGTTTTGTGTTATGCACACACTTATTATTCTGACAAATAATGTGTAGAGAATCTCAAGCTAATGACAGAAAGAAAATTTGACAATACTAAAGTGGGGCCAGTGAATTCAGAAGGTACTTAGTCTAGTAATTAAATGAACTGAGCCAAGATCCTACAATGCACAGCCATCCAACTGTTTCCTTTTATCTCAAAGTGGCTGCAGATATACAAGGAGCATTAAGGCAACAAAAAAAGAGGAAACAATGAAGACTTTGCTAAGTCTTGCCACTGTATTCTAAAAGCAGAAGTGAAACAGTGTTGGGGGGAATTAAAGATAGAGAAGACAGCAAAGAATTTCTGGTTGCCTTTGATGAGAGTGGTCAGTTCATGCAGTCTGGTCAGGTGGAGTTGGTTCTGCTTCAATTGTAAATCATTATACTAGGTTTTCTTAAATGCAACAATTATGTACTTGCTGTTTTACCAGTTTACATCATCCCATAAGCAAAAACGTATCTGGACCAGATTAAAGATTCCAGGTGCAACTTACATTCCTCACCTCCTGCCACTGTTCCTCAAATTGCTTGAAAGGTCACAGGGTAAGAAAGCAAACAAGTGTAAGTGGGTCTGCGAAAATCCACTGTCACAAATCCCAGTGTCTGATCCAGTGTCAATGAGTCAATAACATCCTATTTGTAAGGAAAAAACAAGAGTATCGTGTAGACAATGGTTCATTAACACAGTGTGTTTTCAAAGTATTGCTGTATCTACATTTTTTAATCTGTTCATTGCATGAACAAAGACAGATGTTCTCATGCAGAGAGGTTAAATATGGCTGGCAGTGTTTTCACTCTTAGAGGAGCTTTGCCATATGGGTGGAACATGGATGATGAGGGGAAGTAGGGAGGATGACTTTTGGAATACGTAGCAAGTGTTTCTTGTGGTTTGATTACACAAGATTAAATGTAATTACCCATTCTTTTGACTCACTAAAAATTTCTCAGTTCAAGAGGCAAATTCTGTACCTGGTGTTTAAGGGAAGTCTTTCTAATTACTAACCTACTAGAATATCTACAATTTCCACAAAACATTAGCATAGAACAAATGAGTGGATCAATCCATCATCAACTAAGCTCATCTAAGAGAGAAAATGTGCCTAAAAAAAATAAGAGAACCCTGATGAGATTGGGGTTTGAGAGTGGAAGGTGAGTGCTACTCACCTTGTTATGTAAGTAAGGGAAATTTTCTTAGTTGAATTTGGTCATTGAGTCATGAATTACAGTTAACAAATATGTACTTGTAGAAGTAAAAAGTTTGAGTTCTTCACTGGAAAAACTTAAAAGATGCAAGAAATGCAAGTATGTAGAGGCATTTTTTTCTTTTTTCCTCATAGAAGTATTTAAGAATTTCCAAACGTATTCTAAATAAGAGTTATATACTTAAATTTTACTGCATACTCCAGTGTATCTTTCTGCCAGGGAAGACCTCAGATGACCACTGAGCAGAATCAACTCTACTCTTCTTACCCATATCCCATATAAAGTCTTGCACTATTCCCATCTCTCCCAGAGATGTTACAGGAACCTTCCAATGTAACCATGTTATTTCACTCATGGTAATAATCCATTTCTGGAGATCCAAAAATGAATCCTACGATGACAAGCAGTATCAATTGCAGAGCTGAAGAAAAAATTGTCTAATTATACTTGACTCAGTTTAAGTTATTTGTCTAATGTTTGACATTTGTCAGGTAGGGGATTACAGAAACAAAATATTTGTTTGAACAAGTTTGAATTTCTTTCTCTCTCTCTCTCTTTTCTGGTGGTACTTGGGTTTGATTTCAGAGCTTTGCAGTTGCCAGGCAGGCACTCTACCACTTGAGCCATGCCTGAGCCCTTTTATTATCTGGCTCTTTTGGAGATAGGGTATTATTTTTCGCCCAGGTCGGCCTGGACTGAGATCCTTCTATTTTATGTTTCCCATCATTGCTGGAATGACAGGTACACCTCACCATGGCCAGCTATTGGTTGATGTGGGGTCTCCCCAACTTCCCACCTGGGCTGACCTCTAATCATGATACTTCCAATCTTAGCCTCCCAAGGAGCTAGGATTATAGGCATGATGCACCAGCACCCAAAAGTTTTAGTAATTTGAAACAATCAACAGATAACTAGCTTGATCTTCTTATATTTTGCTGCACACACATCACAGTTATAGTGTGTGTGTGTGTGTGTTTTAAATAATGACTCTTAATGATGTCTTTATAGTTTCTCCCATTCAAACAATGAAATAAATTTTTAGAAGCCCCATTAAAAGACATGATTTCTCTTAACCACTGAACCACTGGCTATATGGTAAGGCAATTTTTTTTTTGCAGTACTGAGTTTTGAACTCAGGGCCTACACCTTAAGCCACTCCACCAGCTCTTTTTTGTGAAGGGTTTTTTTTTAAGATAGGGTCACATAACTATTTGCCGGGCCTGGCTTTGAACCATGATCTTCCTGATCTCTGCCTCCTGAGTCACTAGGATTACAGGCCGGCACCCAGCATGGTAAGGCAATTTTAGGCAAGAGGAAATTCCAAAGTACCTTACAGAAAACAGAGACTTTTCTGGGATGATTCTGAATTAAAATCATCACACTTACTTTCTTATAATTTGTTCTCAACTGTAGCTATTTACAAAAACTGTCTGCATTTTTAGAGTACTACCTTTTATTTATTTATTTACTCATGCTGTGCAGGATCAAACCCAGGGTCTTGCAGATGCTAGGCAAATGCTCTAACAACATCCCCAGTCAAACTTTCTTCTTTCCTTTTGTTATACAATGCTTCATCTCACACTGAGAGTAGAGAGGACTATTTTAACAGTTTCAGAGCATTCAAACTTTCATATGAGGCGATACCAGTCACTCTATACCACACTCTCCACCAAATCTGAGGACTCAGTCCCCACCCTGAGTTTGACAGGCTAGGTTTTTAACAATGTACACCACTATAATCAGGTTATAAAACAGCAGATTTTTTTTTCAGCCTACCAAATCGAACTCATTTAAGTGTTACAGTAAAGTTTCTTCTGATTATAAAGATGATAAATTTTGTAGATGGCGTATCAGTACAAATGAGTTAATCTATATTTTACATTTTATGAGTTTATTTTCAAACCATCTTTATGAAATTACATTACTCAATTTGGGTATAAGAAGTGTGCTATTGTTTTTAAAAAATCATACACAAAACACAAAGACTTGCTTGACTCTTTCTTGTATTTAAGAAGGAATCTAAAATGTTTGAGGATTTTTTTTTTTAAAGAAAAAGAATTTTTTTTTCAGTGAGGAAGGAACTCAAACTCTTGGGCTCAAGTCATCTTCCCACCTCAACCTTCAGAGTAGCTAAAGTTACACACCACCACACCAAGCTTTAAAGGTGTATCTTTTAGCATCTACCTAGCTGAGCATTATCATGAGGTGTTTGGCAAGCAGTTTTTATGCTCACAGGCTTGAAGTTCCCTGAACTGAGGTATTTGGTAAACAAAATCACTTTGATGTGCTTCCCTCCAGTAATTCAGTCTGACCAACATAAACTAGAAAATAATTGGCCAGACAGATTTAGATTCCAGGCTTCCTTTACCCTACAATGCACTTTTCCCAGTTTAATTTTTCTGAAGACAGAATGTTTTTGTATGAATGCCTGGTACTTAAAATAATGTCATGTTCTTTAACAAAGAGCTATGTGTGTGGAGGGGTGCTGTTTGTTCATTTGGCTTGAAAAAGGAAAGAAGTTGTTTGCAAATTAGTGGTGAATCTTAGAATCAATGGTGTCTATACTTACCAATTATATTGCACAGGTTTCTTAGAATCTCTTTCTTTACTGAGACCCCTGCAGAGAATATAAGAACCACATTAGTGTTACTGGCACTAAAAGTGCAAACTAAAATTTACAGATGACCTTCAAGTGAAGATTCATGTAGCCATAAATAGCTGCAAGCCAGAAGTTTACCTTAAGGGGAAGGAATTCTTGATAAAAATCTAAATAGATCCAAATGAAAGAGACTTGTTTTCCACATTTCAATTCATTTTCTTAGTTTCTCTGCAGCAACTAATCTGCCACTCAGTGCTGACAACTCTTAAATTCTGAAACAGACAACCAAAATGTTTATTTCACAACTAAATAACCAGCAATTAATGGACCAAGTTGTAACTGCCAACCTGAATTGCTAGTATGTGTTCTTTTTTTCTTTACTTTTTTCACACAGTGTTTCTCTATGTAGCCCAGGAACTTGCTATGTAGCCTAGGCTGGCCTTGAACTCTCAATTCTCCTGCTTCAATTTCCCAAATGCTAAGAGTACAGGTATGCACCACCATGCCTGGCTAATATATATTCTTCTTTACACTGAAAAATAAAGTTTTACTCACTTTATGATGCCTAACCAGCTGTTATAAAAGTTTCTTAGTACAATAATTGATTTGTATTTTGGATATTTATCTAAAACAATATAAATATGACTTTGTATATTAAAAAAGTAGTAATTGAAATAACAGGCACCAACTTTCTCTCTCATAGACTTGAGGGTTTGCTGTATTGTTTTTAAAACCTGGTCAAAAATCCTCATGAATATTATCAATTAAAAAGTAAAGCTATGTGTGGTGCTGCTCTGCTGTAATCCCTGTTGTGTAGGAGGCAGAGGTAGGAGGATCACACTCTGGACAAAAGGAAGACCCTATCTGAAAAGCACACTAAAGTTTAAAAGCAAAAAACAGGAAGAAAAGGATTAGTAGGGTGCTTGCCTAACAAATGTGAGGCCCTGAGTTCAAACCAGTTCAAAGCACAAACCACCAAATTAAATAAGTGATAAAAAATAAATGATATATTACTATTTTACAAAGATAGCTGTGTGAATCAAATGTCTCAGTTTTACTTTAAGGAAGACTAAAATAGAGGGAGGCATCCTGAAAATTAGGAAGCAAACACACCACATCACATACACATACTTCACACACATACACACACACACATATATATATAGAAAAGTTGAAATTCAGATTTAACCAAGTGAAGAGAAGTTCCCAGCAACTACCTGGCTGTGGTGAAGCAGACTTGATATTGCAAAACCTGAGATGAAGTCCCTTCTCGTTCCCTTATTAGCCCAGAAGCAGTAGAGCTAGTCTCTTCGCCTCTATAAGCTTCATTATCCACACATCAATTAAGGAAAATAGATTACTTCAGATGGTGTTTGGAGACTCAAATAACCTAAGCAAAATGTGTATACTTTATAAATTATAAAACATCCTAAAATATTATGTTAAACATTTAGATAGTAAAATCTGAGATACCTTCCTGGCTGAGCAGAGCTGTCAGGAATTATTTAAATAACAAGAAAAGAGGAACACCAGAAATTGAACTTGGCACAATTAAGAATGACACCCTCATAATCTAGGTTCACTTCCACAGCTCCTGTATCTGTTCCAGAATCTCCATGCCCTCTGGCTGTGGAAAACTTGCTTCATGAAGATTTGAGGACAAAAGTGTTCAGGCTCTCGGGCTATTATGACTAGTATAGATTTCTTCATTCTCTGTATTTTTTCACAAATAGCCCAAGTGTATTTTATTCTGGAGCCTAGTGACAAGTACAAGAGCCAAACAGTCAAATAATCACCCGGATACAACACATATAAACACACACACACACACACACAAACCCCCAAAGCCAGTGAAAATTTTCTAAAGGCAGAATTCAGGGGTCCCTGAAGCATATAAGAAATGGACTCGATCTATTTTTGGTTAGTAGAAAACTATGTTGAGTAAATACCAGTGGCTACAACATAAAGGATGATTAGGCAACAACTAGATAGGGGTGGGGTGGGGGCATCTCCAGGCAGAGGGAACTGTCTTAGCAAGGCCTGGGGACACAAGGACCTGAAAGGTGGAGGGGCCGAGGGGGCCCAAGCCCATTGGCAACAGACAGGGCAGCAGGAGCCCATCTTCCTAAGAGCGTGGGTCTTCACTATAAGAGTCAAGCTGAGAAGAATAGTGCTGTGGAGAATGAATTGGGGGTGGACGAGCATGTTTCGTTTCATGGAGCATTGGATAGCTTCAAAAGAGGTATGACTGACACCCCCGTATATAAGGATGTCCATTGTAAGAAAATAATTAGGAATTCATCTTGAGGAGCCTCAATTTTAGAGATCTCAGGAGAGAAAGACAAGTGGGAAAAAGAGTAAGAGGGACATTAGAAGGAAATGGAGCCACAGGAAAAAATGCCACTGACTAGTGAGATAAGATGAAGACTAAAAAAAAAATCATTCCATTTGGTGACACAGGGATCATTAACAAGAACTATGTAATAACTATGGGTACAAAAGGCAGGTCAAAAACTAACAAGGGGAAGAAAGACACGGGATCAACTTGTTTTTAAAAATTTGAAAAATTAGAAAATTGTGATAGTGAAGGAAAAGATTGATAGGGGAATATTTGGGAATTTTATTCATCTCTCAAATTACAGAAGTCAGTTGCTTAATCTACTGGTCTAAAATGTCTTCCTCCCTTTAATTTGGTCCTATTCATTCTATAGAATTGTAGAGTATTTGAGTGCAGGGACTGGACTAATATATGTAGACACCAAACATGGAAAAAAGAGTGGCGTATTCATTCACTCACTACCTACTACCACAATCCCGTAGGGATTTATGTGGGGTTTATTATTTTTCTAAAAGCTACTTTGCATGGTATGGTTCTGGAAGGAGGAGAAAATGTGCAATATATTCTCTACATAGATCTCTAGCTTCTTTCTCATCCAAAAACTTTTCTTAAGCAGTTATGCAGAGTCATGTCCTGTTCCTTCCTGAACTCTCTTGGGTCTTCGCTGGCTTGGATATGCCCCTCTTGGCATTGGGCCCTAGTTAGTTATGGGCTCTGGGGGAGCGCCAACCTCTTGTCTCACTTTTAGAGACTTCTGCCAAGTCCTCCAGCCATTGGTGTTAGGTTGGTCTGTGTATGGGTGGCTACATGAGCGTCCAGGCTCTATCTTGTCCATTGCCACTCACAAATAGTAAAGCACACATCATGGTGGTGATCAGTGCTTGTCTTGCAGGTCCTGCTGAACCCAGCTTCCCACCAGAAGGTTGGTTTAACATCTTCATATAGACCACACAGCCTCTTTCTGGAAATTTTCTTTCAGCTGAACCTACCTATTAAGTAGTGTAGTATATCCTGCAACTCAGATATACTTAAAAAGTTTATTCCCCATTACTAACCTAGTTTATTGGTTACTTAACAGAAACATCTAGAATCCCTAAGGATCCATGAAATCATAACAAGAAAATAAAGAATTTCTGGAAGCTATTTCCTTGATCCTTGGCTTCTGAGTTCTCAAGTGAATCTGGAGAACAAATATAAGAATTGTGTTGACTGGAGGTGTGGCTCAAGCGGCAGAGTGCCTGCTCAGCAAGAGCAAAGTCCTGAGTTCAAACCCTAGTCCCACCAAAAAAAAAAAAAAAAAGAATTGTGTCTATGACAAAGGTGCTGGTTCCTCTGTTTGAAATGAAGCATGACAGATAACTTGTACATGGTATCAATGTGTTTCTAATTTGAAAAATGTCTACAACTCAAGTTAGAAAGTTGTATGTTTTAAAACATACAACAGGAAAAAAGACACGAATAGATATTTCATTCACAATAGATACAGATAGAAGAGAATTACATACAAGGCTATTGAATATTGTCAGCCACCAGAGAAATGCAAATCAAAACCATGAACCTCTCAGAACAGCTAAATGAAAACTAGTTACAACACAAAATGCTAGTGAGGATGTGCGAAAATTAGATCACATATACATTGCTGGTGAGAAATGTAGAGGAAATTTAAAACAACTAGAAAACAGCTTGGTTTCTTATGCAATTAAATATGCAATTACTATTTAACTTAGCAATTGCACTTTGGAACATGTATTTCAGAGAAATTGATACTTATGTTCACACCAAATCTGTACATGTTCATGGCAGCTTTATTTGTAACAGTCCCAAACTTGAAATAACTTGGTTGTTCTTCAATAGATGAGCAGTTAAACAAACTATGGTACACCTGAACAATGGAACACTACTTGGCCATAAAAATGAATTATCAATACTCATAAAAACTTGGATGAATATTCAGAGAATTATGCTGAATGAAAAAGCAATCCGAAAGATTATATACTATGTGATTCCAATAATATAACATTTTTTAGAATGACAAGATTTTAGAAATAAAGAACAAATTAGTGGTTACCAGGGATTAGGGCTGGGAATAAGATGTGTAGATTTGGAGAAAAATAAGTGTGGTTACAAAAAAGAAACAGGAGGGATTCTTGTAGTTTTGGAATTGTTCGGGATCTTGACTATGATAGTAGATACAGGATATCTACCTATGATAAAATTGCATAAAACTAAACACACACACAAATGAGTACAAATGAAAGTAGAAACATCTGGTTAAGGTGAGGGGATTGTGATAGAGTCAATGTCTGCTGGTGGTATTATATACAAGTCTGCGTAATGCTATCATTGAGAGAAACTGGGAAAAGAGTAAGTGAGATGGTTCTGTATTATCCCTTAAACTGTGTGTGAATCATTGTCTCAATAAGAAATTTCAAGAAAAAAAGAATGCAAAGCAAATTTTCTTACCACAGTTTTTACCACTTTTTGCTTAGGTACTCCTCTAAGCAAAGTGATGATGAGGAATATTCATTATAAAGCAGTTATTTTGGGGGGGAGGTGTGGCTCATGCGGTGGAGTGCCTACCTAGCAAATGCAAAGCCCTGAGTTCTAACCACGGTACCACCACCACCAAAAAAAGAAAAAAACAATTATTTTGCCACACAGCTGTGTCAATAGGCCATCCCACCACATGAGGCAGAAAATGATGATTTAAGCAGTTCTTTTATTCAGATAGTCAATGAGTACTTTATATGCTTTTCAAATAACATGCCGGTACTTAGTATATGAAAGCCACAATCATTAATTTTTCCCAAACCTGACTTTTTTACAACCGACTTCTAAAAAATGATATTGTAAGTAGGAACTTCCATCCAAGCAAGAAAACTGACTTTGCTTCTTAAGCAGTAAATAGCAGCTATGCAAAAAGCACCTATCAGT